ATTTAAACTCCACGAAATGAAAAAACATCAATTCATATGAGAAATTTTATGCTATATGAAATATGAAATATTTCTGTGGCAAATCATTTATAATGAAGATCAATATTTGGTTGATTTCGATAATAAAAATGAAAAAAATTGTCATATTTGGCCAGGTCAGAGATTGTTGTATACTCTGGCCAATTGTGGCCATGGTGGATTGGAGTGGTTCGAACAGAGTTCAACGGGGAGTCATTAATCTATGAACCATTTAATCTATGGTTCAACCATTGACTATATTGAACCCATCTTGTAGAAGCATAGATAAAAAAACTTCCCTTCAATCGACATTCGACAAAAGTAATCTGGTAGAGTATGCAGCGCCATCTTGTGACCATTATCTGAAGTAGAGACTACAGAGTTTTATAAGCTAAATAGGAGAGATTTCGTGACTAGCAAGAAAGAAATCTGTAACAAATTTATTCGAATGATGACTTTGCTTGCAATCTCCTCAAATAGATGACAGGACTGGGTAAATATATGAAAGTTTTGATGATTAATTGTAGTGGAAGGTTCCGATCAGCAAAATGGGGTGTTACCACTGAGCATAGATCTGAGTATTCACTCATCAAGGGTGTTACCTACCTGGGCCCGATTCTCGAATCCGTTGGAATTCGTTCCCATGGGAATAACTCGATATTTCCCATGGAAATTTTAGATGATGTATTCTTGAACTATTGTATGAGAAAATATTCCTACACATTTCAAGAGAACTGCTTCCCATGGTAATATCCATGGGAACAACATGTTTTCTATAGGATACACTCATGAAATACGGTTTTATTCTCATTTGTGAAGGGAACTGAACCCTAGTGAAAAATCGAGGAAACATGTTATGTATTGCAGAACATGGCAAACAAAGATGAAATAGATCATCTAGAGGCTTTATAAAAGTGGCTGAAATCCTTGTTAGAAGACCAAGAAGAAGGTTTTTGCCTAGAAGAGACCCATTTGAGTGTTTGCTGTACAATTTATCAAATTTTTTTCGTTTGTCCAAAGACATAAGAATTGATATAGATACTTTAGAATCCTTATAAGTGAATTGGGGGTGAAATTTTCCTTTCCTTAAGTCCTCAGAGGTCCTCGTGGTTTTTCGATGTTTGTATCCATAACCATTTCAATCAGAGGAAATACGGTCAATATACAATTCACAATAATCTCATTACTGTCGCAAAATTATATTGAAATATGACCTCAAAATTAGTCAAAATCGAAATGTAAACATTACATGACATTCATCCATCAGTTACCAATATAAATTGCATAATAAATTTCATTGATGAATTCATGTAAGCTCAACAATCTATCTGCGACATACGGCACTTTTTCAATCCCCTGGGAGAAACGATTCCATCTGGTTCAAGAATAGGTGTCCTATAGGATCGAATTCCTACAGATTCGAAAATCGGGTGTGATCTAGAATTATACATACATTATTCTATGACCTCAACAGGAAATTTCGGATGCGACTACTTCACGAATAATTACTTCCCCTCACCGCGATTTCTCATCGAGGCAACCATCCTCTAGAAATAATCATCAATTTTATCAACCTTGAGATACACAGGGTGAATTTAAATAACATCAAACAAATTCAAGGGTTGATTCCTTGTGATATTTCAGGAAATAAAGTCCATATGAACATGAGTGTCCTATAACTTGCTTCGTTTTCTTTATACTGCAGAGATTTTTCTGATGGCCCAAGAATGTCGATTTTTTCCTTGTATATTTTTGGCCCAGTTGCCTTTGTCTGGATTCAGCCTTTTTTCTCTAAATTCAGATTTTTTTCTATGAACTCAGTTTTCGAACCAAATTAAGACTTTTTTTTTCTGAAATCAGACTTTTTTCTCTGATTGCAGACTTTTTTTCAATAAGTGTATACAGGGTGTTCCAAAAACTATCGGTAGATCACAGGCACGTATATCTCAATATATAAATATATATCTTCATCTCTTAGAGCGCTCGAAACGGAATTCCTTTGATGTTTCGGAACATCGTGCATGCCCCACTATAATCATGTAATGTTACAAAATATTGTCACAATATATTGTGAAGGTATAACCATACTATGCTATAATTATGCTATGACAATATAACTGAAATACCCACTGACAAATTGTTTGTAAGTTACAAATTGACCCTTTATAATTTTATTTTCGAAAGCAGAATAGCGTCAATCATATATTCTCATTGAAATTAGAATATAACATGGATTACACTGAGAGAAATTTTGAGTTATATCATAATTGGAAATCTGATAGCCGTTATAACGGTATCTGCAATAAATAGAGGACATGTGTTAATTTGCTACCATAGATGAAATGAATTCTCAGGTGGCTTGTAGTTATGGTAGCATATTCAATTTACAAACTTGTATAAACACCGCTGCTGAATAACTACAAATTGTTCTATAGTTTCTATGAAAACACAGAGTGTCAAATAGAAATGATTCCTATATGAATATAGCAATAACTAATCCACTCTACAGTGGTTATTCGACTATCGTCATAAAACAGCCTGTTTTCATTACTGGCACAACCATTTTGAGGTAACGCAGAAATTCGTCTCATTTTATCATAGTTATCTGATATCTGAATGGAACCTGACATTTTCACATGCTATTGTAACAACAGTTATCCCAATATTTTTCTACTCTAGTATATTCATCAAACAGTGGTTATTAGGTTATCTAATCAACATTGCTCGATGGTATGCATCGAGGTATGCATTCTGCAACCGTGCCTTGAATTACTGCAATGAGAATAAATATCCTATTCACACTTACTTTTCAGGATCCGAAGTTTTTTTTTTTAACAAAAAATACAATTATTTTTTTTACATTACTCTCTGATTTTTTTGGAGAAATATCATCTATATGCATACTGACGGATTTATTGAGAAATGAGAAGTTGAATACTCTTCCAACGGAGTTTTGATGAGAATTGTCAATGAAACTTCTCTCACAGAAACCCAGATATTTTAATTCAGAATATCATCGATCATTTTGTTCTTTGAAATAAACCAATTTTAGGCCGTGAAAATAAGGCATGGAGAATACTTTTTTCACTGCAGTAATGCAATGCACGGTGTATCTCACAGCTCGTTTCACAGCCAGCACTAAAACAACATTTTGCTACATCACACACCTTCACACAAGACACGGCTCTATCGATTCGGACGATTGAAATCATTGAACAATAATTGAACATGGGTACCCATGACCGAGAACAGAAGTAAAAATGAACTCGTTCTGTAGCTTTGTCAGCCCCAAAACTGATGAAAAAACTAGGGCGAAATGAGCCAAATTACGATTGTCGAATGATTGTCTAATAACCGTCATACATGTGAATTGCTGTAGTTATTCGTCAACGTATCATGCTAGAAACCCGAACAGCTATGATTATTGGGACAAACATTATCTGAATTCACCAATGAGCATAATTATTCACAAAACGAGCTATGTCATAAAAAAATTTAAATGGACTAGAATTTATAAAATTTGATGGTAGCAAATGTCCATTCAAGGGTATTAGAAATGGTGTAAGAGAGCGATTTTAATGACTACAGAATGGAGATAATACTGTTGCAATAATAAAATGATCAGGAATAGAAGATTTCTTTATAATGGTTATAACAATCAGAGCTGGAAGATATTTTTGATATCCAGTCTCTCTCAGTGAAACAACGAACAATATCAGTGCAAGGTTACCTATATATTGAACTATCAGTGAATTTTCAACTGTAATGTTGCATTAATAAAAATTAAGTGTTCATTGAATTTGTTAATAACATAATCATACTACAAATAATATAGCTCCAACTTATGAGATGCAAGACATTATTTCATTATATAAATTGTAATATAGCAGATATACCGGGTGACCAGTTATATTCTGACCCATTTCAAATGCTCATATCTCTGAAACCATTCAAGTTATCGTTGTGCGGTTTGGACTCGTCTATTATGATGTTTTTCGAGTTTCTTTTGACGTGTTCATCTTCTTACTTGAACTTCCGGTTCTACCGGAAACAAACGAGCAATAATCCAGGTATAGGGCAACTTTTTTATTTCATTGAATCACCCTGTATATTTTTGCACATTCAGAAAGACTGGTCTTCTCTGTATCTAACAATGTATTACAAGTATGTTCTCCTAGGAAACTATTAGAGTTATAACTCTTTGAAACAACCACCGCTCGTGGAATGGTTTAATGAGATTATGCAATGTTATCAAAGTTGCCCTTTACCTGAATAATGGCTTGTTTGTTTCCAGTAGAACCAGAAGTTGAGAAGGTGAACCAGTCAAAAAACTGGAGGAATATCAAAATAGAGAAGTCCAAACCGCACAACGATAATTTGAATAGTTTCGGAGATATGAGCAGTTGCAATGGGTCAGAATATAACTGGTCACCCGGTATAAACAGAATGCTAAATTGCCATTTTTGAATATATATTTTTTCAAATTGCTATAAAGACCCATTTCGCGTACTAACTCAGTATATCGAAAACGTGAAATACTATCTCCACGTGCGATTTCGCGAAATCATGTTTTTCATTCAATACCGTTCAGAATATTTCTTCATGTCTGTGTGATCTGAGAGGAATTTCTGAACTATCGAAATGTATACCAAAGTGATCCATTTAGCATAGACCGATCGAATTTTTTGCCGCGGATCAATGATACACCCTCCATATTCTAATATTATTATGAACCTTATCACATCAAGGCTTCAAACACTATACTGAGTCATCGTGGGCCTATAACATCAATGATCCTAGCGAGTATATGTGGGCCACTCTGTATATGGGTATTTGGTGGGGTGTAATATTTATGATTATATCTCAAATTCACTCATTTCATGTAGGAATATTTCTCATAAGTAGGTAGTCAAATAATTTGGAAAATTCAACAATATTGCATGAAGGAGACATTTTAGATAGGTAATGGATTGAATGAATTCAATTATAATACTTTATTATATAATTTCACGTATTAGCTAACAACTCAATAATTATTTCTCAAATCTGGGGACAACAACATATTCATTTGTTTTGATATTGTCTTCTGCGAGAGCATTTTGTCTATTCATAATATTGGGCACGAAATGTGTCAAGAAGGCTGCAAACATTATGAGAATAAGTTGGAATGTCAAGGACCAGAGAGAACCAAACTCCCCGTTGATTTTTCCTGCTGTTAGGAGTATGATAATCCCGAAAGCCTGCGATACTGCATTCAGAATTCCAGTGGCAGTGCTTTCTTCATATGGAAATGTGAGTTCCACGGCGAATTCGAATCCTGCTGTGATGTTCGAGTTATTGAAAAATCTGAAAATACATTGAAAAACGAAATTATCATCTTCTCAATGCATCACAGATTCAATTTCCGTGAATGTAAAAACTTCACAAACGATTAGATTTCCACAAATTTCTCAATAACACGACATGTTCTGCTAACACAGTAGCTTCATCAGGTGAAATACTGGTACAATGAACTGAACTAACTTTAGCTTGCTAACTTTTATCAGTGTCATTCATAAAGTCGGCATCATTTGGGATATACTTTTATTAATCACTTATTTTGGAATTCGAGTTGGACGTTAAGTTTTGCTTCAAAAAAGATGGAAAATGGCATACTCAATCGGGGTCACGCGACTTTCGCTACATGTCAAAAGTGACATTTTTCAAATTAATCATTTTTTAGATTTTGATTTTTTTTTTAATTTTTCGAAATTTCTGTTATATTTGAAGAATTGTCAATTCCACGAAACTACTTCATACCAGTAGCTTTTTCATGCTACTCACTTTCAATTACTTATTATCACTGATTATGGACAGAAATATGATTCTCTTTAGAAAATGATAATACCCGCTTCCAAATTCTGTTATGTTTGATGCAAAGTTGATATATCGTCAAGCATTTAGAAACGAAATTCATTTAAACTGATCTTTTCAGTACTGAAAAAATAAATTTGAATGAATTTTGTTCCTAAATGCTTGACTTAAACCTAACAGAATGTTGATGTTATGTTCGCATCAAACATAACAGAATTTTGAAGCGGAGATTATATCATTTACTGAAGAAAATTATATTTTTGTCGATAATTAGTACTTGAAAGTTAGTAGCATGATGAAGCTACTGGTATGAAGTAGTTTTATCGAATTTACGATTTTTTTAATATTACAGAAATTTCGAAAATTTCTAAAAAATATCGAAGTCTAAAAAATGTAATAGAAAGATAAAATCCGAGTCACATATGTAAAATTCAAATAGAAACAACTTTTTCAATTAAACTTTTCCAATATTCGAACAAATAAGCCTACTTTCAGCGATTAATTTGAAAAAGTGTCACTTTTGACATATAGCGAAATTCACGTGACCCCGATTGAGTAGGCCATTTTTCATCTCTTTCGAAGCAAAACCCAACGTCCAACTCGAATTTCGAAATAAGTCATTAATAAAAGTTTTTCCCATATGATGCCGACTTTATGAATGACACTGTATATCTGACTTTTCCTACCTGAAGAAATGTAGACAGGTTCGCGAAAGAGGCATAATATCTACATAAAAATAAGGTATACCGGATTAATTTGAGAGGGTTGAAGGCAAATACATATTATTACCTACAAATATCTACTAAGAAAACAAATTGAAGAGTGGTAAACCATTGAAGTCCAGTTGATCGTCAAGTTAAATGTTAGAATTTTTCAATCTGTTGATTTCAAATGTATGAAATCTATTCTCCTATTTTCTACGTGTATAATTTCGAGATTGTCATCTAAACGTAGGTAGCCGTGCGGACAGAGTGTCTGTATTCTAACCCGCATTCGCTTGCCGGTCGTGGGTTCGATTCCCATCGACTGCAGAAATTTTTCTGATGGTCCAAGAAAGTTTTTGGGATCACAACGTCAAAAGGTAAGGCCCCCGTAATTCCTTGCTCGCACAAAACTCTCGAAGACTTCTGAGGGTTGCTCGTAAGGGGGCAACCGAATGACGGATAGAACAATTTCACAACATTTTTTTTTTATTTTTTTAAACGATGGTTTTATACTGATATATGGTTGGCGTATGTTGAATTTGTTTTCTTCTAATATATGGTGGAAAAAGACATGTTTCGCTACACAGCAGCTTCATCTGGTGAAATACTGGTGCAATGAACTAAACTGACCTTGGCTTGCCTAACTTAAATATATCTCACTTTCCCAACCTAACTGTGAACAGGTTCGATGAAACTTCAATTTCAGAAAATAGGCACGATATCTACATTAAAATACGGTGTAGCGGATTAACTTGAGAGGGTTGATAGCGAATACATATTATCACCTAGTATGAAAACAAATTCAATAGTGATGAACTATTGAGGTATAGTTGATCATGTAAGAATTCTTGAGTTTCCGAAAATGAAGGTTTATCGAACCTGTCCACAGGAATTTTGATCCTTCAGGTTGGGAATGTGAGATATATAAAATTTAGGCAAGCCAAGGTCAGTTTTGTTCATTGTACTAGTATTTCTCCTGATGAAGCTAATGTGATAGCAGAACATGTCGTGTGATTGAGAATTTCGTGGACATCTTATTCTTTGTGAAGTTTCTACATTCGCCATGGATTTTATATCAAGTAACGATCGAGTGAATTCAAAGAATTGATTTCAGTGATTGTGAGTTTCGAATTTCAAGATATCAATTCTAGCCAGTATTAAACTTAAATTTTATATTAAACATAACGATAAAAAGGTTAAAACAATCAAGTCAGAGTTGTCCAGTATTTTCATAGGGAAAAAACAAGGAAACTCATGAGACCGACGGACTATAAGTATCCTCATTTTTTCCATTTTGATGAATATTCATGATATTGGGTACGAAATGTGCCGAGAAGGCTGCTGAACACTAAGAGAAGGAGTTGACCTGTCAAGAACCAGAGAGAACCGAATTTCTCGTTAATAATTTCTGTTACCAGGACTATGATGAGCCTGAATGCCTGCGATACTGCACCAACTGTATGACTTCATCAGAACACCGTAGAAAAGTAGGCGACCTTTCACTTTTCTATAGATACTTCCACGGGAAATGTACCTCAAAAATCTTCATTATGATTTCAGCACATCTTTCCGTCGTTAACCTCGAAATATGTCGAATAACACTCTACCAAAACTTGTTCGTCTATAGAAAGGCAAAGCTTTGTAATTTTCTGCCAATGGAAGTGATTCAGAGAAGACTATTTCCAAATCTTCCTGAAACCCTGTATGACATTGTTTCACTACTCATAAGATCAGTTGTTCAAGGCCCCGCGTTTTTCACTAGCCACGTTCACATCTCCAGGAGGAAATTAACAGATTGCCAAGTCTATATCTAGAGTTTCTCCGACGAGGCCAATCGTTTTAGTTTTGTTCATTTCATGAAGTTTCAGGCTTTCATAAATCAAACTTCACCCAGAAGGTCATGATCTTAATTTTTCCGCCATTTTCGAAGTTTCTTGATTACATTTAGGAATGCATGACAGCTCAGGATAGCTCCTGATTCTATATCATGATGCAGTTTTCTAGTTTTATTTTCCTTGGGTTCTGTAAGGTGACACATAAATAATGTGGGTGGAAGTCCCCTCCCGTTCTCCACTTGACCTTCATTCATCTATCTCTTCTGAGCCAAGCTTCCTGAAATGTCCTTTTAACTGGCAGTGTCTTGTTAGGCCCCTGTTACTATACAAAGTCAAATTTCACTTAGGCTGATATATGCGTTCGTGATTAAATGAACCCAGTAGTATCTTAGCCTGTCTGAATACTTGATTTTGTTTATTGTTTGTTAATTGATAGCTCAGTCTGAGAGCAATAATTATAATAGTCTCTGTTCGCAAAAATAATTGAAATACTGCCATAAAGTGCAAACATGGAATTATCTGTGTACTCACGCGAATATTGATAATAATATGTAAGTGAATAGGATACTTTGCTGCCAGAGAGCTACGATGAACGATGCCAGGGATAGAATACTCATGTAGAACAGATACAAGCATGTTGCCCTGGAAGATTCAAGATTACAATTAGGAATCATATTAAATAATCGATTTGTAGTACTTGTATCGGTGAGTTCTGTCTAGAATAACTCCACAAAGGATTACACCAATCATTCCACATATAACACAGATGGACCCCATTCGACCAGCATCTTCTTCGCCATTCTGGAAAATAAAAATCATTCAATTTGCGAGATACTCTGTAACCATTTAATAATCAATAGTTGCTCTACACAAACACTGGTTTAGGCTGGTTACCCTCAATCCAAAGATTTGCAGGATCGAGTAAGAATCTCGGTTACAAAAATAGTATTTAAAGTGACCAATTATATGTAGTGGAAATTAGACACTGACTAACTCATTGGGACACTGGGGTGAGTACGGTTAGCAGGGTGAGACTATGATCTTAGAGTTTCCTGTATCATTTACTAGAACTGCAAGAATTTAATGATTGACAAGTTGATAATATTCAATGTTACGTAACAATGAGGTTCAAAATATCCAAGAGGTCATACTGGAATGCTATTCATTGCCAAACAAATAGATACCTAGGTGATCACTGTGGTGTACAAATGTATTGAAAACCTGATTTTTCAATGTAAGTTGAATCTTATTGAAGGTTACGTATAATATTGGATTTTGTAGTGCAGTGGTAAACTCTTCACAGGAGCTTGGTGGTAGTTTTCAGGTAGGTAGCGAAATCGGAACGAGCTTACCAAATTTTAGACAGGTTACACATTTACTAAGTACTTATACGGATAGATCCAGACGTTGACTTCGCAGGGTAGCAGCTCAACAACAGCGAGCGCTCTATCGCTTCCAAATACAATCACGATGGACCAGGTGTCACACGTAGGGAAGGTCAGATCACCATGGGATTGATGCTCACAAACACATAAGACAACGGATAAGGGGAAAAGCCCTGAAAAGGTATCAATATGAACCAGTGTTCCAAGACCTATTGAAGACAATTATAACAGCAGTGAAATACCTTTGGTTGATGTGCGGGCTTGTACGTGGCTGATGGAAGAGGTTGAATCAATCCCCTGAAATCAGGGTATTTTGTCCCAAAACCAGAGACCAAAATATACTTCACGTGAAGAAGGCAAGTGATCTCACTAACAGTGGATTTGTTTCGAACTATACAAATATATGAAACCTTCTTTCACACACCGTTCCAACCAGATCTCAATTATTTATAGCAACACAATTGAACTACGATATGGTGGCTAGGTAGCCTCTTCTAGGAACCAGAAAACCAGATCAACTCACACATTTCGTAGTCAGGGTATAACTGAACTGTTCAGATACTTCACAGAGGAACAGAGAGCACGGAAGAATATACTGAATGATCAAATTGACTAGTCACCACCGATTATATTGAATACAGCCAAAAGAGGTTGAATAATTGTGCTGGGAAATTACAAGGTGAAATATTGCGATATGGAGTTATAAATTGTCATTGAAAATTTGGACTTTAGTAAATGATACAGTCTCTATAATGTAACAAAAATATGACTTGTAACAACTCACATTGAATCACATGAAATTTATGTCAGAGACGATGTCGTGGTTGAACGGTGGGAGCCCCATACTTGCAGCGGTGACTGAGGTCTTACTTCAACTGAAAACGCTTCTGCTCAATGCGTAGGAACTCTTAGACTGTCGTTCATGACATCGAGTCAACTTTCTTGGTGTTCCATAGAAACCAAGCTCGACTGACATGAATGACTGAGCTTCAAACTCATGACATTAACGGTCTAGTTACAGTAATTTATGTCAGTCAATCCTTGTGCGGCATATTATCTCTGATACAACTACTTTGAAGTTCAGAGTCTGAATTCCAACGGAGTTAAGAGAAACATAACCCACAGATTATAGTCGAATCTGAAACTTCTATGGCGCCAAGGTGCTGTCAAGATTACAACGAAGAACCACAAACATTCGAGTGTTCAAACGAATATGTGTGGTTCATTGTATCGTCAAATTTGAACCTTTATCGCTATAATGTTATGACGAGGATTCAACAACGTTTTCCTGATCACATATTCATCGAGAAAATCGAACGACAAAATGAATTATTTGACATTGAAAAGGCTTTTTCAGTACCTGTGAATTCGAACATCACTGAGCTGTGATGTCAATGTCTTTTCGAAATTCAATTGGTTGGAGTTCTGATCGACGGTTAAGAATCACTCCGCTGTTGCCAGATCTCTATATAATCTTCGAATCGACACTATGTGCAAGATGGTGCAAGGAGAGAAATGATGCTAAATTGCTATGTAGTAGGTAACAAGTTGATTGGTAATCAACTGCTGATCTAAACTTCAAAGTATTCTATGAGCTTCAAGAATACCTAGGATGCAATCTTACGGTGGAACGCTCTTTATGTACCCAATTTGAATTCAGTTATGTTGAAACTTCGTTAACTCATTGTTATAATCAACAAATTGAACAGTTTCACTATATCTCAAGCACTCATTTCCGGAAAATTCGATTACTAATCTGGCATTTATGTCTAGGAGAAGCAGAGATGTAGAAACTTGTGCTAACAGAATCTTGCCAGGTTGAAATGACCTCATTCTGTGCATAACTTCACTGTTCTCATTTATCAATATTATTGAAAAGAAGGCAGTGCTGCTTGTTCAAAAATCAATATCAATATAGAACCAAGTCAGCCATTTAGTATTCATTGATTAGGATTCATTTTTCTCCCAATGGTGAAAAATTATAGGTGGGTACATTAATGGGTGAGTACTTCAGAGGTACCTGAAATTGGAAGTACTCTACTGGAAGGATTTTAATACGGAATGTCATGAATATCTGCATTGTTATCCAATACACAATGAGAATTCACTTACAATTTTGATCTATCCTTCAGCATAAATCAACCAACTAACTAATTATGCAATGCAAATTCTCAATGCCACAAATTGCCAGGTTACTAGTTGAGTCATCTAGCAGCATCTGCATTATTTGCTGAAATCAAAAAATCGAGGAATGAATATACGATAGCTTTCTGTCCGAATTGGCAACATTGTTGAGTCCATCGTTCATTTTAATGGTAGTCGCGAGCAGGTCAGGGAATTTCAAAATCCATACTGCTCGAGCACTGTCGTCACACATTTCGAAGCCATGTTTGATCGTTTGAATTCGCTCGGTCACTTTGGCGTTCTCAATAATTCTGTATACGATGACTCGATGGAGAATGAATCTCTAGTAACTATTTCTAGGTATTCCAAAGTCATTTGTTTCGAGATATATTCTTTCTAGAAATGACTGGGGAGGCCATTGGCCAGGAATCTAGAGCTTTCCCCAATCAGGCAACTCATTCGCCCAGGTCTTCGAGAAGACCGAAGCTCATGATGACTCGCTAATACGGAATGTAGTTTACTATCTATGACCCTGTAGTTAATTTATGATTCAAGCGCCATAGGCTCTTTCTTCTAGATGAGTTTTATTCTATTTTTTGGTTGAACCCAACTACAAAACAGGGAAATCAGTATAACTGATAATACAGTTTTTCATATTTTGGAAAGTATATAAATATAGGCAAGACCTCAGCTGAAATAAAAAGATTCAATCGCAGAGATAGAGCAATGAAAGATATCTGGCTGATTTTTCGATGAATTATTGTTTAAAGAACACATGTTATGGAGAGGAGAATATTTCAGAATATTTGTTCGTGATGTCGGAAGATAGAATGTATCGAAAACTCTAGAAGTTTGTCTAGTCACAGTAAAACTCAGCTTCTGCAAAATGTATGAGTCAGTGATAATGTTATTCATCACTTTGAAAAGGAACACTGTGGATTGACAATCACGACGGCAACTAAGGCTTTTCATAGCATGTCTAGCTAATAATGTATTATAAGGAAACCCGATTGGTGGATATACATTATCAGATCTATAGAAAAAAAGTTTGAGGAAACGACGTTGTACTGATTCAACTTTCTCTATATACAGCTGATGAGACGGATTCCAAATCAAAGATGCATATTCCAGTTTTGATCTGACGAAGGCATAATATAAAAGTGGGCAGACGTTGAAGTATTGTATCACTAATATCATACGGAAATAAAATGAGTTGATTTCTGAGTGTATATGTGATCACATTACATTTGCATCATCCAGATCATACATTCACCTTTCAGCACAGTTGTCCATCTAAATTTTTTTACACGAAATGTCTGCACAGTCCTTTCACAATCCCCACATCCAGCTATCCAAAGTAATGCCAACATTTTTTCTCATTGAGATTCTCTTATTACTTCTATTCAATCCTTGGATACGAATGTTGTATTGCTTTTATTTCAAATCAGTTTTGATAATACCACAATGTCAGGCAATAAGAGAACTTGCTCTGGTTCGGAACAAATCAAAGACAAAGCACAAAAAATTATTTGTAAAAAATTTATACACTGAATTATTCCATACACTGCCAACTACTGCAAGTATATCGAGGTCATGTCAATCAACACCCAGATGAAAACAATAAATGATCGCTTCTCAGCGTATTAACATCCAATAAGTGGATTTACGTACCGGAAAATATGCGAAAAGTGATAGACTCCTTCAAATACGAATAATAAGATTCAGCATCAAAAGAATCACTGTTTGATTAAAAAGTTCACCACTCTGGTATAAAATGATACAAACACAAAATCGTATACACCACTAGATTGTGGATCACTAGATACTATAGTGTAGCTCTATTGATAATTACTTATGACACCCAACGATGTTGCATCCCACTGAAACAATCAGGGCCTCAGAGGACAGCTGGTGTGTGCTGGTGTAATTTTTTTTTCCACTCTGTATGATTAGAACCTGTATGGGAAATGATTGTAAATAATCAATGTTGATTTTTTTCAAGTGGTGCCAAACGAAAAACATAAAGAGGAGTTCACATTTCGAACTGGCTCTTTAAATGAGCTAAAACTGATGAAATTCGAACAAGATTATCAGCGGCCTCGTTTCTGGATTTGACCAATTTATAGGACCACTTAATCACTATACCAGGTACTGAATTCATTTTCTTCCTCAGAAAATATCATAGTTTACTCACCTAAAGTGATATAAATAATCAAGAAGTTATGATGACCCATCATGATACTCACTGGAAAATGCTGAAGAACATATTGATTCAGAAGCGTCCCCACAACCGAAAATATCCCATAGTTCAGCGAATTTGCTAGACAATGGCAGATGAATCCTTTCTTCATGAGCACTCTTTTAAAATTATCCATGAACTCGCTAAATGTCGGTGCAAGCTGCTTTCTCGCTTCAGCTTGTAGATAGCTAGGAGGTAAAGGTGGTTGCTTTGGAAAAACTATGAAAAAAAAAGATCAATTAAACGACTTCCCCAGAAAGAAATTCGATCTTTATCATACGATTGACCACGTTCGTATGGACCACCATGTGGTTACCTTTCAGAACAACTGAGTATTTCACTATTATCAAGCAAAACAGTTTTTTTGCCCTGCAAACACCTCTGGTTGTCCCGGATTGATTATTAATTTATTCGAAAAACGAATCTGACACTCTTTGTGTAACAATATCGTACAATCAGCCTGGTTCACTGATATTCCGGGGGACTCTTAAGTTCCAACCCATTTTAGAAATATGGAGCAATTGCTATCAGCATCCGAATATCATAAATAAGTCAATTCTCATCACGAATTATTGTACCTGCCTGTCCATTGATGATATCTGTTGACATTGTTCTTGTTTGTCACCTCAGTCGCCTTCCTTGATCAGTTTCCAATGCGTGCTGCACTAAGACCCAAAGTTAGTAATTATGCTCCGCAACATACTCAAAATGGGACTGTAATTCCTCGAAGATGCATAATATGGAAGCGATCAAAATTTCGTCTTGGGTGAAGGTGCTACCAACTATGTTTCCATGTTTCGACTATTAGTAAGCAATGAACCTTTTCGTAGAATGCTCGAAGCACTAAGCACTAAGCACTGGTTCAAATGGGTGTTCGGAAGCACAGGGCTTATGAGCACAAGAAAATCTATGTGCTGTAATGAGCACTGAGAACAATGCTTTGGGAAGGCCAGCCCTGAATGTAACGTTATTTGAATTACGTGAATTACTGAAATGCATCATTTTTCTGGTTCGAAATAATTCTCGATGCCTCATGACTTGAGAAAAATATTTCATGCAAAGTTAAGACATGGTGCCTCAGTGACATAATTTGTGAATTGATACAAATATATTGAGCGTAAGAATATACTTGCTGAACTTATTCGAATTCGAAGAACTAAATAGAATAGAACCGCTTCAGATTCAGAAATATAATGTAACTTATTCCTGAATCTATTCGAATTGCTCAAGAAAAACTGAACCATCGTGGAATCGTGAATTTTGAGCTATATGTACAACTTTCAAGAACGCACGTTTATTCAAGAGTTATTACGGCAACACACAGCGACAACAATCTGACAGAAATACCATGTAACGTCAAATACAATATCACTAATCAATGATCAACCATTTCACAGTATGATTTGCTAAAGAAGATATGGCTTTCGCCAACAAAGGTCAACTGGAGATTCAATCGCCTGCGTCACCCCTATATGGCAAACCGTGTTTGGCACCAAGGACAGCTTCGGGAACTATCATCATACGAATTGCCACCTCAGCTTTGCCATCTTTCCTCGAGTTCCCTTCCAAGCAAACCAATCCAGGTGGGGATGGACTGGAATCACCTGATACCATTGCCATCAATTTTGGCGCACCACAAGGATCAATCTTGACACCCACATTCTTCCTTCTTTATATCAACGATCTATTGAGAGCAGCACTGGCCACATCCACAGACGACAGTACTCTCCCTACTGCGTTTTCTTCTAGAATTTCCATTTCATCCCAAGAAACTAAGAACTTGCGAGGAGGCAGGCCAACGCTGTCAATGAAAATCTTGCGGATATTTCAGCCTGATGGGGAACAAACAACCTAGTTGAATTCAACGCCACCAAAACGCTATCCTGTATTTCCTCTGGAAAGGCGGAACTCAGTATGCCCGACATTGTAATGTCTGGGACCACCATCTCTACCAAGCCCACCATTTCTATGCTCGGTATTTCCATCAGCAGCACTCTTTCATGACATGATCATGTCAGATCCATCGCAAAAGCTGCTTCACAAAAACTCGGATTCCTGTTCCGTGCGAAAAGCTACTTCATACCTCAACAGCTTCTCATGATCTACAAAGCGCAGATACGGCCTGTTCTAGAATACTGTTCCCACATATGGGGTTCAGCACCAAAATATACGCTCATGCTCTTAAGTTCCATCCAGAGAAGAGCCATCCGCCTGGTGGGTGACGCCACACTCACTCACGCTTTGACATCATTGGAACACCGTAGAAAGGTCGGCGACCTTTCACTTTTCTATCGATACTTCCATACCTGACATAACAATGTCCGGTACCACTATTCCTACCAAGACCATGCTTGGTATCACCATCAGCAATACCCTCTCATGAGAAAGTCATCTTCGATCCAACGCAAAAGCTGCTCCACAATAACACGGTTTCTTCACACCACAACAGCTCATCACGATATACAAAGCATAAATCCTGCTAGTATTGAAATACTGTTTCAATAAATGGTGTTGGTGAGTGTGGCATCACACACTCATCAACACTTGACCCCATTATAGGACACCGTGGAAAAGACGGAGAACTCTCACATTTCTATAGATACTTCCACTGGAGATGTTCCTCAGAAATCTCTGCCATAATTTCATTACTAGCCATACCAGTCAGACGAACTCGACAGACCCAGTCAGTACATCTCTTCGTCGTTATCCTAGAAAACTATCCATTCGAACGGCTAAGCTTTGGAATTTCTTGCCAATGGAAGTATTCTCAAGAACTCATAACCTCCAAAAGTTCAAAAACAATCCGACACCTACCTCCTCTCCATGTCCTCCTTACGAACGCGTGATGTTCCACGAGCATTATAGGAATCTTCTCTCATGCTTTCCAAGAGATGAAAAAATCCATACTTATGATCTAAAAGTGTACCAATAAACAAAAAGCGAAATGTATTCATGGATAGCTGGTCTTTCGAACACCTGCTCTATTTCGAGCTATCCGGCTAGGTCACGGTGATCTAACTCTCGCGAGTGTTTGAATGACCTCTTTATCCACTTATACTTCAATATACTATATTACTCCACTCTCGGTTCAGCCTGGAGCAACCCCAACTCTCCATTTCCAAAATATTCGACATTTTGACCGAAAAAGTTTGTAAGAATACTTTCTACCTGCCAAATTTCAAAATCCGATCATGCAAGACTCTAAAGTTATAGCTCTGGCCACTTTTGTGCTATCACCTGTATATCTATCAAATGTTGAGAATGAAATTCACTGTGAGGAACATGTGGCTACTGAAATGTATAGAATGGAGAAGGAAAGCAAAACAGTCGATTGAGTTAGGTTAGGACAGTCGTTGATTGTTTCTACAGGGTGTAACTAAATAGGTGTGAAACATTCAAGGGGGTGATTCCTTATCGGAAAAAAGATAGGATCTTCCATATAAAGAAACTTCATTGGAGCATCCCCTATTAAGGTACAGCCCCTTCAAGGGGGTAAATAAAATTTGTTTAACAATTTTTTTCACAAGCACCAAAAAAGTTACAGTATTGAAATGAATCTGATATTTTCTTCTTACCAAAAAGACACTCAGCCAGTAGTTTATTTGGTTTACCCCATGGTTGTGAGTGGTGGAAAACGCAACCCCTAGATTTTATTTCCAATGTAACCCTTTGTCTCATTATTTGTTCACCATTTGAGAACTTATTTCCGATAGCTTGTTCCATTCAGAACAAAAACTGTCCCCAGAATTTTTTGCTCAAAATAAACCAATTCGCAGCAAAAAAATATTTCAGATCTGATAAACCATTATTTAACAGATCGTACTCAGATGGTGAGTTGTAATAACTCACTGTCTGATAGTGTGTCAATTTGTGCAGGAGTGCCGCAAGGTTCGGTGATTGGTCCCTTATTATTCCTAATATACGCTACCGACATAATGAAATCAATTACTCGTGGTTTTACTCATGCATTTGCAGATGACACGCAACTGGTATATAGATTCCAATCAAGTAACTATGCTATAGTAGAGGTTGAAATCAACTCTGAACTCGAACACCTTTATCAAATATCGAAAGACAATAATCTGAAAATGAATCCAGAGAAGTCGAAAGCAATGATATTCGGAAATAGAAAATCACGAGTGATAGTAGATAAAAATATTGACATAAATATTAATAATAAAAAAGTTGAAGTTGTTACGGAAGCACGAAATCTTGGTGTTAAATTCTTTATATTAGTAGGCAGTTGTTGAATACTACCATGAAAAAAAACTTAAGCGACATCTTGGTGCTATCGACTTTCAACTATGTAGATTCCGTATATGGTCCTTTCCTAGACATAAATGATAAAACACGTATTCAACGAACGCAGAATTCTTGTTGTAGGTTCATATACAATTTAAAGAAATACGATAACATAAGTGTAAGATTCAAAGAACTCAGCTGGCTCAACATGAATAATAGGAGGTCATTACATCTGTTACAATTTATTAACAAAATCTCAGTAACATCTGAGCCCAGTTATGTAAGAGAACAACTTAGTTATAGACGAAACCGTCATAATATCAGCATTCGTTCTCCTCATACTTTAGACATTCCTAAACATCGTTCTACAATCTTTCAAAAAGTTTCAGCTACCGTGCACCGGAACAATACAATGAGCACCCGGATTATCTGAAAATATTGAATATAAATCAATTCAAGCATAACGTTAAAAAATATTTATTGAATATGCAGAATCATACAAATTGATTGAGTGTCGAGTTTCATGCTGGTTGGAAAATCTGATTGATAAATGTATTAGTTTATTAGGCATTGATGAAGCAATAGAAAATTTTGTTATGTAGGTAAATAGCAAAATTATTGCATATTATACTATATCCTTATAATGGAAAATTGTAATTTTTAGTGTCTTAGTATTCAGTTTATTTTTGTTTGAGGTAAAGAGGTAGAATAGCTTCAGCTAAACTTCACCTCATTTGTTCACTGTTTGGCATATACTGTATATTCACATATTTATATATTATATATGTTTATATTTCGATGTTGATTCTTGGTGAACAAATAAACACGATTATTATATTATATTACGAACAACATACATATTGCCATAATTAAAACGAAGATACGAATCTGATTCAGTAGGCCGCTATTAGCGATAGTGTCAATTAAATTGGTATGAAGCTGTCAGTTCGTGAATTTTTAAACTTGAAGTAATACGTTTTGTTCATTCTTGTTTTGTTCTCAACTTGTGAAAATAATTGTTAAACAAATTTCATGTACCCCCTTCAAGGAGCTGTATCTTAACATAATATAATGCTCCGGTGAAGTTTCTTTATATGAAAGATCCTAAATGTTTTACACTTATTTAGTTACACCCTGTATATTCTTGGTTCGTTCGAAACTCCAAATGTCTTCCTTATTATCGATAGGACACCTTTTGTTCTTCCGATGAGGAATCATCAATATTCAATGATATCAGACTCGAATATGGTACGGCATATGACTACGATAATATGAGCAAAACATGTTTGATCTGAACAAACATATTCACACTCACAGAATAGTAAACATATTATGATAGGAGCCATGTAAATGACCGTTCCCACAGATAATTTCCACAGATTTGATGCAATTGAATATATATCGTCATCACTTTTCACTATAGTTGGTGGAATGATGAACCCAAGTGCAAATCCAAACTGGTTTCCGAATACTCCAATGGCGCAAGCTGTTGATATCTGAAACCGAAATAACGATTATATGTATTTGAATTCAATGAAATTCCAACTTCACCTTATTTATTCATCAATTGTGAGACATTCTGTCTTTTTTATGCAAAGACTGAGACTAAAAGCGCTCAGAATGCTGAGAGGAACAAATATATGTATATACTATATTGAGTGATTCATTATTCATATCAAGTTTTCTCTGTTTTTATCATATGAGGATTAATCATAGAAAAAGGAAAATCACTAGACCAATTCCACGACGTACCGTCAAACAAGGTTGAGTGGCTCAAAAAATATTTTTTTTTTCGAAAAGTATTAGAACAAAGAATGTACAAGGAATAATGTGGGACATGGCACTCTTCCCGAGTGGCTCAAGTAGAAAATGATTTCAAAAAACTGAGGATCAGGCCTAAATATTTTTATCAAATCTGATACACTCTTTCCACCACTCTGGGGTTAAATTAATCAGTTATTTTCTACGCGTGGAAACTAATTTTGAAATACTCAGAGGCGCTCGGAGGTGGAGTGTATCAAACATTTACTTTTATCAATTTATTCTTGTTGAGAGTCCATTTTCTCAATATATATCATTCTTCGCATGACTCTTGATTGATTGATTGTTTGATTAATAGCAGAATGATCAGTCAGGGTTCGAAGCCCAAAACACTACAGCCTTTGGACCTATTGTATTCCTGATCATGCTGTTGACTTAGGTGAACAGGTTCGCTACTTTGCCAAGGTTTAGCAGCCTCTTCACCAAATCATTCTTTGGAAATGCCTCTTGAGAGTTTACTGCTTCCAGAAGGTTGTAACTTCAACGCGCTAGTGCTTCGCACTCAAATATTACATGGGTGGCAGTTTTCTCATCCTCATTGCATAGTCTGCATATGGGTTCGTCTGTTTAGATGCCCATATGATGCATATGTTTCCTCAAGGGGCAGTGACCGGTTATTAGTCTCGTCACTTGTCTGATCTGACTTCTGTTTATGCTCAGAATGTCGTTAGTCACTGTTTAGGACAGTGTTCCAACCATCAGTTTACTGTGTCTTTGTCCTGGGACATTGTTTCAGTATGCCTGATGTCTTTCTTGCATCCACCTTGCCAACCAGCCGCGTATTGTGGTTTTGGGGATGCCGAACACAGGTTCCGGTCCCATAAACAACGATGCAGACCCTTGCCTAGCAAGGGTCTCAGCTGCTTCATTGCCTTCAATTCCCTCATACCCTGGCACCCATTGAAGAGTTACCTTGTTGTGGTTAGCCAGGGTAAGCAGGATTTGAAGGCAACTCCAGACCAGTTTCGATCTGATTTTATTGCATGTTAAAGATTGAATGGCCGCCGCATGACTAAGAACAAATCAAATTATCAGAATTTTATAATCAATCCATATTTTATCAAGATATAATATAAAAAATATTGAATCACAAAATATAAACCTTCCTTCCATAAAAATTAGAATGCTTAATTTTACCCATTGGAGAGACCACTTCAATGTGACATTTCGAGCATGTGAGTAGATAAAATGATAAAGTGAGTGCCTCCAACCTCAATCTTATAAACAGTCTCGTATAAATCGCAAAATCTGTTAGAGCCTATTGTGTGTTCGTGATAATCTCGTGTTTCTTCTAACGCGGCGAAACAACCTTCTTCACTCACTTTCACGTACTGGTGAAACAGCGCCCTCTTTCGTACTGAATAACCCGACCGATTCATCTTCCCCACAATGATTCAATTTACCCCATTTGACGGTATATAAAACTGTCATATCATGCGATATATGAATTTGTCAAAATAGTCAACAGTAAATTGCTTCTTTCCTTTGAGCCGGTAAGACCACGTCGTCACGGCAACCATGAATCTGAGAAGAAGAATAGTTTTTTTCCTGATATGACATGGAAATACACAATCGAGAATTCTGTCAGAAATCAACGAGATCAATTTGATCGACAGTAATGCCCCATTGAGTAAAGTTGAAAGCTATATTGGTGCAATGTTGAACCAATAACTGAAATAGACGTTCAGCAATATTGCAAAGGTGAAGTTTGATAATGTAGCGTTGCAGCAGAATAACATGTTGCTGTGACATTGTTGGAACGTTACAATCACAAATTTGCATTTGCAATGTTGCTGAACGTCTGTTTCAGTAATTGCTACAGCCTTGCATCAACATAACTTCTGAATCTGCTAAATGGGGCGAGGAATCACGCTATTTCTAATGATAGTATCTTCTATTGAATTTTACCTCACCTCACTAGGCTTGAACCACACTGCAGCAACTTTCGTGGGCAAAGAAATAATGAAAACTTGAGCTGTTGATCCAACTGCTTGCCCCAGCAATACCAAATGAAATAGATCTCTTCTGATGGCGAATAATTTTATGAATGCAGCTAATGCAGTCCCAATTCCACCGCATAAAGCTGCAACCCTCAGTCCCTATAAAAAATGATTGTTTAAATCATAGTAGATAATACATTTGTCCAAGTCCAGCTGTATAATTATTCGTGATGCTGTTATATCGATGAAAATATTCAAGCAAGACAGCGGCATATACAGGGCTGACCGAAAAACATCTGAAGGGTCAGGATAATATTTTGTATTGAATGTCCTGTATATAGGCACATGATCTAGAGCATCATCGTGATCTCCATTCACCCCTATCATATCGGTGACTATATTATTTCCATCAACGTTATGAATTATTTTTGTCCAAATAATATCATCTGCAGATGCATACCAGAAAAATACTGTCGTCACAATTATGAAATTCATGGAAAAATAGTCCCAAGTTCATTCACAAAAAAGATATAGAATATTTATGAAGAATTTTTATACCGTCGAGTTATACAGGGTTGCTGAAAATGATTTTTCAACTCGAAACTTTTCAAAGTGATTTTTCTCGAGTTTTGCAAATGGAAGATCACATATATTTTTCGATTATCTGAAATAGAATCAAAACAGGAACAATTTTCATCGAACCATGCATATTGATATTCGAAACCATTTTTCCATTATTGAACTTGAATATTGAATATTTTTGGTTGGTTATCTTCATCGATACACATCCTCACTACCTATATCATGTGTTATAAGAACCTCAAACAGTCAATCAATAATAGTGAACCAATTTCATTATTGAATGGATTAACCCCAGAACCAACGCAAACGGAATTCCGTTGATAAAAAATATGATATTGTTGAATTAGCAGATAATTCAGTTGAAGAGGTGGATTTTGTAGAAATTTATGCTACGAAATGAGCCCTCTAATGTTCTTCTTGCTTTATTAGTTTTTTTGTTAGACTGATTTTTCAGACATTTTGTAAAACGAGATTTTCGTACATTTTTCACCAAAGAAATTCTCTGGACCATGGGATGATGTCGTAATTCTTCATTATAGATGTGGATGCTGTTGACCAGAAAATGTCCCTCAGGTTTCATTAAGGTATACTCCATGATTAGGTCATTGAACGATAGACCCCACCGTATGCCTTACTAAATTAATATCTTCACAACACTACATATTATTTTGAATGTTTCAGTAACGTTAGAAAACTATGGAAGAGAGGCATTGATAATGTGATAAATACACAGTTATTCGAAAATATGATAATAATATTGCAAGGACGTATTGTTAGGATCGAAAGAATACTTTCTCGTCATTTAAACATGTATCCTAAAATGCAATCTTTTCGGGATACAGCCACTGTGAGATGAGTTAAAAAAACGTTTCCTGAAATTGTGATCATAATAAGGCACCGAGTACAAGTATTTCAGTAATGAACGCATCTGAGATATCAGTCTCAAATGCGTTTCGACTTACGATCACCTCAGTATGCAAGCGATTAACCCATTTTCTTCGAAAACAATGTTTTTAGTCCAAACGGTTGATAGTGTCACTATAATTCAGGAGATACAATTCTCAATATCTCATTGCCACAAAATCAAGCTAGTCAAAATCCGAGTTCATCTTTTGAAACAAGGAATGTGTACCAAAATAAGTGTGGACCCTCCTCCTACTCTTTGAAAACTGAGTTAACATCATTCTTGAAGCAAGAAGGAAATGAAGTGTCTAAATAGACATCAGGCACATGACAATCTCCTGAAGATTTGATCCGTTATTTCATCCACAATTCTTGTTTGATAAGGTAATTGGGGGGAAGACGCGTAATATTTTTTTTAAAAATAAAAAAAATAATTAACTTCATTCAAAAGTCACAAAAACTGTGTATTCTATTACAAATACAATAAACAAATGATTAAACACAAAGAAGTTTTAAATTTCTTAAAAATAAACGAAAAAGTTGGATAAACATTGACAGCTGTCATTTCGGCAACTTAACCCAACTACGGGGTAAGATGCCGACACACTTGGAGTGAGATGACAAATTTGATTTTTATTCTTTACACGTCTCATCAAGGTTCGTAGAGGGATTCTATATTCTTTAGCAATCGCATTCGCACTCAGGGTTGGCTGCTGACGTAAAGCATTTGCAGCTGTTCTAATGTCTTCTTCAGTCCATTCGCCTCTATTTGATTTTTTGACGTATGTTCGTGGCATTTTACCCAAAAGAAACAAGATAAATTAACAAACTATTCAATTAGACGTACTGAAAGAAAACCACTAACCAAAATAGACGCAAACCTGAGAAAAAAGAAGAGTTACAAAGTTTACAGTGCAATCAAGATAAGGCATCTTACCCCACACGGATCTTGGCGTTTTACCCCAACCCTTAGGTATAAGATGCCAAACCCACAAATCAAAATAACAAAACCGTTTTTCTCATTCAAAATAGGACAGGAGTATTGTAATGAATGCCAAAAACCTACATATATTATATTAGCACAAACAAAAAACATTTAACACTGTACATCACATAATTAATTTCTATCGTAAAAAAGTTACCGGCATAAAAAAACACATCACCTCAAGGAACAGTTGCAAGCACTTAAGCGCTTCGAAAACTATGATGTTCTCTAATAATAAACACAATAACAACGTAGCCGTGTCTGTGGCGCGATCTATTGAGTATTGTCCAAAATACTTAGATTAGGCATCTTCCCCCTTTTGGCATCTTCCCCCCAATTACCTTAATCTTTTTTTTTACCTAACTTAGAGTGGCTGTTGCTTGAGGACACCCAATGTTTATAAAATAAAGTATTTTTTCGATTCCAAAATATTTCCTTGAAATATCCACATATCCAAACTATCCAGAATACGTTTCAAAGATTTGGCAAACAAAAATTGAAACAGGTTGCCAGTTCAAATTTTTCAACGAATTGAAAAGTTCACGAATGTAATATAATATTTCTCGTCATCATACGCGATAATGAACCTTGATGCTATATCATAATCATAACATCAAAGATTCAGTGACTACATACTTTGACTTCGATTAGGTATGACACCGGTACTACAGCAACAGGATAGGCAGCCATATAGATGATTGATGTCCAATCTACCATCAAGGAACTCACACCATAATATTTCATCACGCTATTAGTGATAATAGGGTATTCTATCCATTGAAATGCATTGCCAGATGCATACAGGCTGTATATAAAGAGAATCCACCATCTTTTTCGATAAACCTCTATGAGATTCTTGGAATATTTTGGATTCAAATCCTTGGTCGTAGGTGGCAACATACTATTTTTCTTCGTATCCACAGGTTCTCCACAGACCTTCGAATTCCCAGCGATAACACAGTTTGTATAATGCTGACTAGTGATAATTTCAAAGGAAAGATGATGATGCAGATCACGTCATCCTGTGAATGAAAGAAGACAGGTTTTGGCTCACATCAACCAGGTTGATAAGATATAACATTATAGGATACCAATTCACACATAAGTTACCTCGATCTAATGGAACGCGAACATTTGTTCAATATTCTTGCAGTTAGCATGATAATGAAATAATTATATGGCTCAACTGTATGTCCAACGATTGCAAAAATTTTTCGATTGTATCTGAGTTCTTCATCTGGTGAGTGAATTTTCAGACACTCCCCTATTGATATTTCTGACAGAGATTGAATGAGTTGAACCAAATGTTTTTTTAGGAAGAATACGAACTGAATTTATTCAAGCAATTTATTGAAACAATCCTCTAGAATCACCACCATCATTGTGGATTTGAGTCGATTTGAACTAAACTTAATATTATGTTCTTTTCAGTTTGATATTCAACTGAGAGATAATATTTGTCAACTAATAGGTCGCGTGCACGATGACCGGCCCTGGAGGTAGAACATTGTAACGCAACCCCACTTTTTTGTGAAATATTGAAATACGACAACATCACTTTCTTCATTTGTTTACAGATGAATCAAAGAATGGAAATAGTTTTTCACAATATTTTGGCATTCGAATCGTGTTTTTGCGCTATTCATTATAATTCAAGCATGCCTTCATTGTGCTGTTGCACAATGCACAAAAAATGCAGCGAGGTACGAAGGAATATGATTTTTCAGGTAAATAGTAATCTCACATAGTTTTCATTATGCAATTTCATCATTTCTTATTGAAATTCCTTATGCCACTTCTGCAATAGAAGATAATACTGCTTATAGATTGAAAATGTCTACAACACACACGATCATATTTCGTCAGCATGTCAGACCAGTCCTTCCGTTTGATTGCATGGATCCAATCTTCTTGCATTCTTTTCGAAATCTCACGAGTATTTCTATTAGCTTCTATTGCAGAAGGAATTTCGATGAGGAATCAGAGAAATCATCAAATTCCAAAATGAAAACTATATTGAGTGACTATAGTAGGTACTTACTTTTAGATCATAATTTACCAACCGAATTTCTTCGTCTCTTGCTGTATTTTTTGTGCATTGTACAACAGCACAATGTGATGGCATACGCGAATCAATGCATAGCCGAAAAACACGATTGGTATGCCAAATCAATTGTAAAAAACTATTTCGATTATTTCTAGACAAATAAGGAAAGTGAGATTGTGTTTCAATGTTTCATCTCCAGGGTCGGTGATCATCATAATCAATATCGTCGATATTTTATTCATTCTGTACCTCCTGAATACTATCTATTGGTTAATTGAGGAGGTGGTATATTCATTATCGCAGATTTCTTGGATTTTTTTCTCCTGGTTTCTATATAATATAAGGTTCGTTAATCTGTGATAATAGTGATATGAACGTATAATGAATCAATCAATATACGTGTAGTGAGGACAAACTAGATGGTTTGCTCCAAAATGTCACTGCGTTTAAAAATTTGGCTAGCAGAGCCCAAGAGAAAAGTTCATCCGTTTGCCGCAACTTATACTTGACGTCAATTTGTGGGCGGATATCCTCCATTTTTAGGTTTAAACGGCAGCAGATTCGTTCCTGAACCTAAGGTAAGCGAAAGTTCGATATTTCCTTATATTTCTCTTTTCCAAACCTTTCTTCAGAACAAAGTGTCACTGACAAGCAGATGAATTTTTCTTTCAGGCTTTTTGACAGGAAAATTCTCAAACGCAGTTCATGACGTTTCAAACCTTAGGTTTTTAATGATGATATGTTCCTATAGTTGGGATAGACTATAGGGGTGGACGACAACGGTTAATGATCAGGGGGTATTTCGAAAACTATCGAAAGTTGTCGAAAGTTATATCCAATTATCGATAACGATACTATCGATAGAATCGATAAAATACATTATCGATATCATCGTTGAATCGACGATTCAAAATATACCCAGACTTTTCAACATATCTTCAAATCTCGTTGCTTGAACCTCTTTTCTCGCTGAGAGGTTTCCTCACTTCACAGTTCCTAATTTGTACACGAAAACGTTACTTCTTTACGAACATTCGATTACTTTTTTTCTCATTCGATGAAAGCACGGCGCTTCGAGATGATAATAATATGACGATCTCACCGATGAAGCATCAGCCGTTGCCTGCTAAACAGCACAATCTCCCGTGTCCGTGATCCAAAACTTATATTCGAAGGAATGCCTTCACTGGGCGAGGGCTTCCCTTCTTCTGATATCGGATTGCTATTGATAGAGACCTATTCAAATTGCATTTTGATCAAAACACCGCTGGCGAGCAGATTTAATAGTTGTATCAATCAAAATTTGAATGTTGAATCGCATGACAACTGATGGAACAAGATTCCAACACCAATCACTACAAGAATACAAGCTTTATTGATAGCAGATATTATGTGGAGTGTTTAATCTCTCTTGAAAGGAAGCATAGTCAAATCCGAATTGTGAAAATAACTAGCGATCCGTGGCCGCAGGTCTTTTTCCTCTCGACCCATCTCGGTTTGGCCACGTTCCGCCCTACCTATAATATTTCTATGAATGCATTATTTTTCGATCGTAAATTGAACAATCTGAATATGCTATATCATATGCATGATCTCCAACATGATCAACATAGGAACAGTAGACATACACTCAAATTAGTGAAACTAGTAGTTTCTCTCCAATAGTGATTGATTCACACGAGACCAACGAGACGAGAGATGAAAGTCTCGTCTCGTCTCGCCGATGGAAAATAAAGTCTTGTCTCGAGTCTCGTCTCGCAGCTTCGAGTCTCGTCTTGTCTCGCGTCTCGTACGAGAGTCTCGCAAATGTATCGCAATCTCGTCATGCATAATCTTGTTGCAGTCTAGTACATCATACTACATCTAGATATAAAAAAAACATAGCATTATTTATATTCGGAAGATATAGAAATAAAATGAAAATTAATTCGTATAGTCTAAACAAATAAACAAAACAAAAACTTTAATCCAACATTATTTTACTTATTTAAAAAATAGGTATCTAGGCAGAAAGGTAGTAGATTGAGTGCCGCGGCTGAAAATTCATAGCCGAGCGTAGCAATTGCTGCCATTTGAAACATTGAATTTCTTTTCCAAATGATATAAAAAACCAATTTTGTTTGATTTTTTTATTGAAAACTCCATCATTTTGTGTTCATTCAATGTCAGTGTCAATTTTGATTACTAATTTCATTAGACTTCCTTGGAATGTTGCATAGCAAAAACTTTTTTCGCCTAGGCAGTAAAAATACACCGTTCCACTATCCCTGCTGCTTGGCGAAAAAAACCTTTATCAGTCAGATCAGCCTTCGCAGAAATATTCAGACTCTCGCACGAGACACGAGAAGTCTTGCACGAGACTCGAGACGAGACCAATAAAAGTCTCGTCTCGTCTTGTCCGAGTCTCGTCTCAAGTCTTGTCTCGAAAACGAGACGAGACCATGCGAGACTCTCGAAAACGAGACTCTCGCGGGAACCACTACTCCCCAATAAAATCAAACTTCGCCGACATGTGCATCTTTCTTGAAATTTCAGCATTACGAAATATTCACCACACATTTTTCTATATGAAGTGTTGAGAAATATTGTATTGTCTAGTTCATGAATACTTCCACGAACTAGAGTTCCTGAATGTACTTGACACTGCTGTTTCGACGTTTTTTGTATATTAGATTACGGATTCTAGACAAGCAGTGAAAATCAAACATAACGAAAAACGATTTTGGAGCAAATCATATGTTTTGCCAGACAAGGACAAGAATATGTTTTTCGCTTAGATAAGGGATCCTCGCATCTTCCGTCCTCCTGGGAAGAGTACATCCATATATCTTTCTCTGTCTTTGATTTTAGTATGAGAAAGCATAGCGTCTCCTCAAGTGGGTAAAAGGGTACGATAAATTGATAAAAAAATTATTTCTTCTCGGAATATTGAATGATAAGGCTGAAGGACCTCAATGGAGGTCGATATCAAGTAGGTACATAATATATATCAACGAAATACATATAGTATTCCTATAAAATTAGTCTGTAATATGTAGGTATATATATTCGTTCATTGAATATTTGTTCATCACAAAAGTTCAGAATAGGGTAAAAACTGATACATTTCAAGAAACATATTTTTATTTAGTGTGGAACAATTTCACTTGTACAAGAGTGGTAGGTAATAAGTCATTAATGAAGAAACAAATGATATAGCAACAATAACAACTGATTTCAGTTAGGATAAATAATATAGGTTCTCCAAGACATTCGGAAGTAGGTATAAATGGACTTCAGCGCTCGACTCACAATAGATTGCAGTTCACATAAAGTGGATTGTTGGTTGAACCCGGCCATCGGAAGATCATTTTCAATACCTAACATAAAAAGTGCACTTGTTAAGCGTTCTTGTTCTGTGCTCTGATAATATCTTGCTCGTATCTCGGTACTCGAGAAGTGGTTCAAAATCCACTAGGAGCTATGTTATGTAGTCGTCTAGCACTTTTCAACCACGCATGAACATGCACTTTCAGACTTGGGATTTCAACTTTGAGGAAGTGATACACGAACAATATATTCAACTCTTTGATATGGATACATCAATATCTGGTACATCAGAGTTCCACAAAGTGACTATAGAGAGTTCGTATACGAAGATGATCTGAAGAATTCTTGGTTGAACAGGTATGTGAAATCAGTTTGAGTCAGTCAATTCAGGAAGTTGCTGCTATTTCATCATCAGGTATTATCGATCGTGTTCTCCATGATGGCTATTGTGATATCTGCTCCATCATTCCATCACAAGCAATAACCAGAGTCTAAATTTGAATAAGGTTCTTTTCGATACTCGCTCAGTTTATAAATTGTGGGTTCGGCTCTTTCTCTCAATACGATCCTATTCTTCAACTTCCTATTAAAAAATTTAAATACCTCGTAAATTTCGTGGCCTATATTCCATGCCGGCTTAATTATATTCCATTTTTGTAGAATTACGTTATCCGATGAAAATTCGAATAGAGTGAATTGATTTCCCGTGTTCTCACAGTTGGAAACTGCACAAACTTGCATCTTTCTGCTAATTCTCTCAATTTGTCAAACCTTTGAAATTGTTCTAAAATTATTGTTTTCTTAAAAAATCCATCAATTTATTTGTGGTTATGTCTGATTGTCACTGCTTGTCATAGTGTCCGTACTCTGATATACAAAAACGTCAAAATCAGCAGTGTCAAGTACATTTATCTCTTCTGAGTATTTCCTGATCTTTCTCTCGTCTGATAATATCGACACTTTCTGTTGATATGTATCATGTATCTTGATTTGAAAGATCATTATTGGGAGTACCGGATGATACTGCATTTCCAAATTCGAACAATATTAAGATTCTTCACAAAGAACATATTCAAGATATGAATTTCTTTGTTAGATCAATATTATGCTTTGCTAATAATGGACACGTTGTGTTGATAATTTCGAGTTTGTTCTCACATATCAATATCTCATTTTATATTCCTCCAGAACGTGTTTTCAGAAACGTGATAAGTGGAAGTGCTCAAGGTGGTCTCAGAAGAAAATGAGTATTGATTGTTTTCATGGGCACTAGGAGAAACTGTAGGAGAGGTCAGAAAGGACGGAATGCTGGAAACACTCATGAACCCTGAGTTACGACTTGAACCACAGGGTGAGTCATGGGTCACCAGCCATAGCCTAATGGCGGATAGAAAAAGTCGATATGAAGAAATATATTCTGCCTATTCCTAACAAAAATAAAAGGCATTATCTGGATTCAAGGCTAAACTTTGATGAACGATATTTCAGGAATGTCTCGATGTTATCGCCTGAAATTCACCAACAACTTACCTCCACTGACAGTCTATAAGCAGGCCTAGTATGGAAGGAAGATCTGAGGCATTGGGTAATTCATTTTCTTATCGACTTTCTGAAACGTATTTTTTCAATACACGCATCAGAATCAGAAAGATCCTATGAGTGTAGCTTTTCACTTTGTACGGTACATGCTTCTACCAAATTGTTGAAAACATATCAAACGAAATATCGATGAACATTTCCATGATTTCGTAAAGTCATATTGTAGTCACATCGTTCAACAAATCTATCCAAATCCAATTCTTGCTTATCATAATATGCGTATAATAATAGTTGAGAGGTTCTATTCGATCAAAATTCCAAGGATGGACTTATGTTTCTGGAAGAAACCTCAGGAGCGTCATTCCAGTGTATACTGAAAAGGCATGGAGAATTTTCCGTATGGGTATAAAATGTGCCGCAGGCGAGTCTTTTTGGGTTCAAGGTCAATTGTCTTCGTATTGAGAATTTGAATTTTTTCATAGTGACAACATCTCCATATCACTCATCACATTCAATTCGATTTTATTTTCTAATTTTGTTTAATTTGCTATAAAATTATGAGAAATTATAAGACAATAATTGAAAGAGCCAGTGGTAACTATTTAAACACTCTCTGACGAATAACTGACCAGATAAATGTTTATTTTCCAGATTTTTCTATATTTCTTCACCTCGTTTCACTGAATGAAAATTCGAAAATAATTCCAATAGCCATATGTGTCACTGTTTATCAGTAACAGATTCATTTCCCAGTTCAATGAAAGTATCGAATATTTTGAACGCAGGGACACTTTTGTTTCCTTCATATTTTGCATTCATGAAACTAGGAAATCCCCAGGAATCCAGAGAGATGAGGGATATTTTGATATCGAGCAAGCGAAAAAAGATGAAATTGAAATGATGGGTCCATGCAGACACTATCAGTCTATTGTTCGTGAAAGTAGCTTCAGTAGATAACTGTTCATTATTTTGTCATCGATACAGGAAGATTCATCGTGAACTTTCATTTGTAAATCCAGTATGGGCATTGATCCCCTGTTGCCCACCCTAAATGACACCCATGAGAGATCATTCAAATATGGAAATAAATAATTTTCAATTCGAATCTTCTTCTACGTGTGAAGATGTGAAGACGCCCACTGTTCTCTACTTTGCTGCTAGAGCAATATGCAAAAAATACTATTTCGATACTTCAAATTGAATGTAGAGAGTAATGTGCCTGGAGAAAGTATTTTGTTTTTACCAAATCGTTCGAAGCCTGCCGTTCAGATCAAAAAGCTGCACTTGTATAGTGTTTTTCCTGATCGTCCTGATTCTGTTGAGAGTTTTTGAAGCATATGATCCATAAAGTAAAATTTAGGACTTTTATAAGGGTGATGAATTTCCTGTATCTCGCCTAGCATTTTGTTTTCATAGTAGACCATCTTAAATAGTGTCAGTAGAGGTGAGTTGCTGGTGAATTTCAGACGCTAACATGAAATATCGTTCATCAAAGTTTCGCTCCTAATTCAAATAATGCCCTGATGTATTTTTGTCATGAATAAGAGAAATAGATCCTTTCATATATATATCAACGCACCTTGACTTTTCCCCTCTGCCATTAGGCTATTGCCGGTTAGTCATGAATGTACATTATGAAGTTTTATTTTGAAAATAAGAAAAACAGAATATTTTGTCATGCCTCCTTGGAACTTCTCATTCTCTACAGTGTATCTGCGGATAATCAGAAAGTATTTGATCCCGTTATACTGAATAATTTTCCGATAGGACAGATGGTAGGAAGCATTGATCGAAATAACATTTCAATGACCTGAGATATAGCTGAAAAAAAATTACATTCCTTTAATAGTTCCTGGAATTTTACCATATCATCATTGATACTAACAAGTTGGCAATTCATCTTCAATATTTTCAATCTGAATATTCCTGATTTATTGATGGGACGTGTTTCTATGTGGGATTGCTCAATTTCTACTCCATATTCATCAAAAAAGTCCATTGATTTTGTGAAAATACTCTCAGAACATCAATTTGAGCCTTTTTTATTGCTTCAGAATATCTTCAACAAATGACTCATGTATTCCCAAGCAAGCTCATGGTAACAGACTTCAACTGTGCTGAGTATTGAGAAGTTATGTTCAGACAGTCAATAAACTATGTAGTACCAAATTGATGAACAAGAAAGTTGCTTCAGTTCTTGGGGAATAGTTGAAATCTGATTTCAACGAACATTATTTCGAAAAATGAACGTATCGATTTATATTTGGCGGTCTATCTAGATTAAGAAAACAGAGGGATATTGGGAACAAGAGAACGGCGGCGTGTTTTTGTCGAAAAATATTTTTTCTACTCCTTACTCGGTAAGTACTTCATTTTGATACTGATTTGAGGGAGGAAAACACGTTCTACTTCCCTAGGGAGGTAAGTAAATATTTACCTCCCTAGAGAAGCAAGTTAAATAAACTTCATAATTTGACCTAAAAATTGCACCAAGCCTTGAAGTCCTTGTAACACCGATTGTACCGTTCCTTCGATTTCTGAGGTAATAGAGCAGCACAAGCTGCATTCGCAACTGCATCGATATCCATTATTTCAATTTTTTCAATAAAATGACACTGACAGAACATTTGTTTGATTATAAACAATATGAATTCCATAGCGATCAACGTGTAACACTAGGAAACCTGTCATACATACCGGGTTTTTCAGTTAGATTAGTCAAATTATATAAGTAATTGAAAAACATTTTTTTTAATCTAAGGGAACTGGAGTAGAAAAAATATAATACAAAACTCGGGAGGCAGTGTTCTTGACCAGTCTCGGACTATTTTGCAAGCCCTCGCTATCGCTCGGGCGCAAACAATGTCCTCGACTGGTAAGTATCACTTGCCTCCCTTGTAGTGTAAATAACTATATCATCTCCTTTCTAACACCATCATAGTTAAGAACTCCATGTTTCTTATGAACATCTACTTCATTGTTATAACCAATGATCGAAATCCCCGTGTGGCATTTCCAGGGGAAGGGAAGGAAAAATTTTTAGAACAATATCATTGAATATCCACTTTATGGTAAAATTTACGGTGAGGAGGGGGTGAAACACAGCTCAGTTTCGTGCAGGTTGTACACAGGAAAAAATAGAGATGCAAATTTTACTATAATATTGTAGTTCCATTTTTCTGGTGATAAAAACTTTCTTTTATGTTGGATGTCGCAGGATGTATTTGATATAGTTTCTGTAGTAACCCTATACAGAGGTATTTTGTCAACCATTGCCAAAATTTTAGTCCTTAGATTATGATGACATGTTAAACGTTCGCTATTTGCCAATCATGACATCATACAGAGCAATCAACGAATCAGAACAAGTCCACAGTCCACGTGAAATGAAGACGCTCGCTTATTCACCGCAGTCTTTAGGTTAGCCAAGTACAGGGCGGTTGTGTTCTTATGTTTCATGTTTGATCACTGTTTAGTGACCATTGAGTGACAAAATGTATCTTATTACCATGTGAAATATTTCGATGCTTCAGAGTTGGAAATCAACTACCCAAAAGCCTGTACCACAGATTATTATACTAATAATGATCAGCCGATGGCCTGGTTCCAACCGTCACCACCTCTAGCAGTGAAAATGGCGATTATATCGATTCGGTCCCTGCATGGAAGGAATCTTGGATATTAAAAAATATAGATGTAATGAGACAAAGTGTGTCTGAGAGACTACAAGTGAAAATTTTGTCGTATGTATACTAGTTTTCATATTGGTATATATCAAAGAATTAATATTAATTCAATATTATATAAAAAAAAATATATTATTATTTTCCTTCAATGATTATAAGAAAATTGTTAATATGATAATGGTGTGGAATTAACTTTAACTAATATACTATATTAACTATCACTATGATGAAATCGAACTGTTCACTATGCATTGTTCTTGGAGCTATAATCGACGCAATTTATATTGAAGAGTTCAATATTATTATAGTGTATTTCACCATAATTTTCTTTCTGTGTATGCAACTTATTTCCAACAATCTCAGGAATTTGAAATATTTACCTCACATTATTCCATATAGAGTCTCGTGTTACTATGTCTAGTTTATGGATACTTCCACGATTTAATCAGATCACACTGTCGCGTCGCTGTCACTCAAATTTCACACTATTTGACTAATTATCTGAAATAACCGTATATAATCGACTTACTCCTTTATGATTCTGTAACAATAAACTGATTTCAGTTATTAAAAGTGTTTTCTATCAGAATTTGTCTTCTTGATAAGATTGTATATTTGATGTACCATAAATTCCTAACTTTTTGTGAACGAAATTGTTTTCAAGAACATTTTCGGAGAAGTATGGAAGCGTGAATATGCGATAACATGAAATTCCGAGCCTAAGATGTTCAATGAGTACAGTGACTGGAGTCGACATAGGTGTTCAGGTATGACTGAATACCAATTTCAACTATCAGTAGTGTCAACTATTTCACTTTGTTCGGCCTCTTCTTGGAGTTGAGATTCTACATAGAGTTGTATTCCAACTCCATCAAGGACAAAGAATTGTAGAGGAACAGCGAATGTACGATCCCTAACAACACCAGTACATCCTAGGGACTTCCCATGGACGTCCCTGATTTTATACTAGGACATCCCAGGGATGTCCTTTGTCGGGACAACGTACATACTAGGGATGTCCCAGGGACATACGCTGGCCGCTAAAAATGGCATCCAAGAGATGTTCTTCTGGTATGTCCCTGGGATGTACCAAGTACGATGAAAGGATATCTCTAGAACGTCCCAAGGATATCCTAGGAACATCCTTTCGACAAAAGAAAAAAGTTGCAGGTCGAGTAGGAATTGAACCCGGGACCTTTGGCTATTATCATGCACGCACCTTGCTCCATTGGCTATCATGCCTCCTGAAGATTTATGTACTAAACAGATTGATAAACAGGACTTAACTACTGGAACCTGAATAAATACAACTTCATTAGGAATTGGGTATAATTATTATCATTCTTGGGTGTTTAAAAATGAGGGGCATTATATGCATGTACGATTTCTGTCTGCGGAAAATGGTAATTTCTCAAGAAGTTCTGAGACTTCATTCTTTATTTCCATTACAATCATTTTCCGGAAGAGAAACAAACATTTTCAAAAAAATTCAACTCAATAGTTTGATGAAATTCAATGACTCTGATGTGAATGGATATCAATACTTCAGGGACAGGGACAGGATAACCTAGGGATGTACCGGGCGGGATGTCCACTGGACAACCACTGCAGGACATCCCCTGGATGTCCCAATCATGTCCTTGTACCGCGGGACAAAAAAGGACGTACCTAGGACATCCCTGTGTTGTTAGGGATGCTTCCTCAACCAAGCATGCCGTTTCATTCGGAACCCTCAATGCCAAACAACTCACTGCACACAATAAAATCACTTGTTCCATTGGAAATACTCTCGGTCAAGAACTCATTGTCCAAGAACTCATCGCACACTTCGAAACCGTTAATCTTGTATGAATTGGCTCATTCAAGAAGGACTCAGTGATGAAGGTCATTCATTTCTTTGTGGTTTCAATAATTATAATAAGAGGTCGTTTGTTCTATCTTGGAAAGTAATTGAATGCCAACTTTCTCATTCATGTTGAATTCAATGATCACGTCATGTTGGTATCAAAATTGTCTGAGACTCTATTCCACTTCACGCATTCACACCCAATAGACCTGAACAACCATGACCATGCAAACCCACCGATGAAAGTCGTTGGAGTGTTCTTATCTAAGCCTAACCTCAACGATCACGTTTTCGAATCGACTGCAACAAAAATATGGTGTTGAGTAGGAAGCAAGATGTATTTTATAATCTTTATGAGACTATAGTAGAAAACCCCACATCTTTGTTGGATTGAAAGATTCAACAGCAGGTGTCACATGTCAAATTGTTCATTATTTTACTATTCTATTTTTTCTCATTTCTCAACTCGAATTGTAAGACCATAACTGTACTTTGTGCCACCCTGTAATTCGTTAAGATTTCTGTTTGTCTGTTGGGTGTCCTCATGAATAAAATGAATAAAAAAATGAAATAAATCTTTTTTAGCGTACTAGAGGAGACTCCTATAATGTTAAAAGAAATCGTGCGTACCTAGGAAGGAAAGGGAGACGACGTAGGTATTGGAATCTTTTTTGAACTTTTGAAAATTCCAAGTTCTTGGGAATACTTCCATCGGCAAGGGATTTCAATGCTTAAACGTTCTTTCATAGACGAACGAGTTCTGGTGATGCGTTGTTCCATATTTCAAGGTTGACAAAGGAAGTATCGGTTGATTGGGCCTATCGAGTCCGTCTGACTGGTGTTGCTAGTAATGAAATGATACCATAGATTTGTGAGGTACATTTCCATTGAAAATATCAGTACATAAAAGAGACAGGTCAACTTTTTTTCCACCATGTATCAATGTGTGGCATCATACCAGGCGATTAGCTCTTCTCTGGATGTATTCGATGAGCATCAGCGTTTGTTTGGGTGCTCAATTCCATATACAAGAACAGTATTTTAGAAATGGCCATATCTGTGCTTTTTTGATCATGAAAAGCTGTTCAGTTGTGAAGTAGATCTTCGCACGGATTGAAAATAAAAATTTTTTTTTCGCGATGGATCGGGCATGATGTTTCCATGAGAGAGAATTGCTGATGATAATACCAAGCATGAATAGAGTATATAGTTTGGACTGAAAGAAATGAAGGAATATTGAATGTTGACCAGCACCTGATTGTTTGTTAGAGCTTCGATACCTATAGTGTCCCAGCTGATTTCTTGCTAAAATAAATTAACTAATATCTACGTCTATTCTTTGAATAACGAGAGATCGTTATTTGTAACGGACTTCTGAACTCATGGAGAATAAATATTGTTCATTCAAGATGATATACTACAAGGCAAGGCACCTGATTACTACTTTTCAGTTTTGATGCAGTCCAAGTGATCTGCTAATGAATTTCTGATGCGCAGGTTATATTATTCAATTATGTACTCGAGTTGTTCCTCGTAAGAAAATAATTTCCTCAAACAATGTGATTAGGATTAATTATTATGATAGTTATATGGATAGACACAGACTAGTCAGGATTTTGTTGAAGCTTCAATATAGCAATAAATCTTTAGTATAGTATATCAAGGATTAGATGTTTTCGAAATTTGAAGTAAAATAGGTACCTGTACAAAATAATGCAATTTATTGCCACAAAATTTTCCATGGATCTCTTCCAATGAATAATGAAAAATTGATCGAGGTTTTTCAGGGTTTTGAAATTCAAATACTCATTTTCATCCCTAATATCATTGAGGGTTCCTGAGTATTCTGAGCAAATCTAGTATTCGATACCGTGATATACAGTGTGTCTCATTTCTAATAAAATACAAACACCCCTGAATCTGACGTATTAGTTGGGTAAGGGCCTTGTAATTTTTTGGAGCAATAGATATACTGAAAATGTGCACTCATGCTCGCTTACAGCCAGGATGCACCCTATATTTCCGGAAAATGATATCAGGAGTCGAAATAAACCTATTTAATGAATCAATTCGGAATCAATTCCCAACTGTTCAAATTCTTCCTGAGCAAAATTCCATTTCTGAAAATTCAATTTTTGTCATACTTTTCACGGCAACACTCCCGTATCTTACGTATTTATCGAGTTAGGATTGGTTAATTTCCAGGAGCAAGGAATATTTCGAAGAAACAGTCAATGATTAATTGAAGTTACCATCAGTGATATACACTGCTCCCTAGCAGCAATGGAACCACAAACATGTCCGGAAAATCATATCAGCAGACAAGATAGGTTTGAAATGACTGCGAATTCGAGAACAAAAATCAGAACGTATAATTCAGTGAGTGCTCATATTCCTTCTGGAAAATTTTCAGTGTTGAAATAATGATTTCTGTCTCACTTTTCATGGGAGCACTCCAGTATTTTACGTAACTATTGATGAATGAGTCTGAAATTTTTTGGAGCAAAATGAAGACTGATGACAAAGTGGGATCATCTTCAATGATACACTGTTTGCCAGCAGCCACAAACCACCGACATTCTAGAAGGAAAAATTAGTTGAATTGGATAATTCACTTGTTCTGAGATTGATAATCACAAAGTCAAATTCCATCCGGAATAATGGAATAACAATCAGAACTAGTGCAATCGAATAGATTACCAAGAGTGATCCAATAGATCAGAAATCATGACGACTGACATTGATTCGAATTATGAATGGATGAATTCGTTGATACTATATATGAGGAAAATCTTAAACGATACTGATGCGTCAAAACTTGACACCTCAATGGATTGGATGCCCTGTTTTCGAATCCGAAAGTGATTTTCAACCTATCTTGTCTCTTGATATTATTTCCCGGACATTTGTATAGTGCCGTGGCTGTTGCCGAGCAGTGTATATCACTGGAAATTACCTCACTCAGTCTTAGAGTGAATTTTTCGTATTCCTCTCGCTCCAGCAAATTTCAAGCTCCTTACCCAACGATCACGTGAGATACAGGGGTGTTTCAGATATGAGAATTTTCCAGGAGAAATATGAATGGTATGTGGATTTGGCATCCTGATTCCAAATCCAAAGTGATGTTCGACCTATTTCGACTCCTGATATAATTTTCTGGAAATTGGGGTGGTTATATACATGGCTGTCGGCGAACAGTGTAAATCACTAAAGTGAAATGACGTCTTTTGATCTTTGAGTGTATTTCTGGTATATCTCTCACTCCAACGAATTTCAGGATTCTTACCCAACGATTACATAAGATAAAGGAGTGTTTCCATCAGAAGTGAGACACACTGATGTATGTGAAGATGCAATTTCCTTCACGTTGGGTGGAGAGAGACCTCAAATGGGTCTCTTGTGCTCCATCACCCTGAAGGTTTTATTTTGCTGTGCAATCCACTAACTTTCACATAGTCCATGTTTGAGTTAGGTGAGAAATCGATGTTCTGGATCAGTGTAACGATCGATCTTGAATCTCTCTGAACAACGGCATGAACATGATATGTGCTTGCTTGTTTCATCCGTCTTCTTCTCCTTTTTCTTCTTCTTCTTCTCTGCACAGGTGGGCGGGCCCATTGTGCGCCTACGTGTCCTGTGAATCAGCTGGACATGCCGATTTCTTTGACGAAATTCAGCAGCTTC